AAAATCATCCTTCGATAGCTTTGAAAATTGATTGTTAATTCAAGAAGTTGGGCGATTTTGAAAGTGTGCTTGTCTCTTGTTCTTTTAAAATGATCTTATGGGTTTTGATCTTCGTTGATTGAAGAAAAGATGATTTAGAAAAGTTTTCTTTCAAAAGATTTGAGTTGTATAGTTTTGGTGAGAAAACCTAGAATTTGGGAATTTTTTTTTAGAAGACTGAAAATCCATGAATGATATTGTTATATTTATTTTGTGTGTCAAAATAAATGGATGTTTATAAAATTTCTTATTTATATTTATATAAATGATGAATTTCAAGGAATATGAGAATTGTTGTTCATTTTGAAAATTATTGTTCAAAACGTTGAAATAGTCTTGAAATAACTAATTGTTGAGGATACTTGAGAAGAGGAAATTGTGTTATTTCTTGGATGATGAATTGGAATAAAAGTATTTCTATTCATATTGTGAAATTGGCATATCAATTCATTTGATTACATTAAATTTTGAAAGTTGATTTGAAAACTTGCATTGAGAAAAGAATGTTGAGAAACAAGTTTTCATGGAATGATTTTGGGGTAAATACGTTGGTAAGTCTTGATAGGTGGTATAAATGATATTGAATAAGTTGGCCTGAGAGTCCGGGGTGAAAGACCGAAAATTGACATGAATAAGTGTCGAGCCTTCCGGTTAATACCGGTAAAAATGACAATTTGATAGTACTTGTATAGTCTACTTGCAGACACTGACCTAGGGATTACCAGAGTCATATTTACCGCCCTTGAAATAAATTGTTAAGTTTTGAACAATTGAAATTGCATGATATCATTAAGCATGATGATTTTCAAAAGATGAAAAAGTGATTTATCTTCAAAAAGGGCATAGCATGGCATGTGCATTTCATCTTTTGAGGCTTATATAAAATGTATATACTTTGATAAAAATTTTCTACTAGGTTTTATGCTTACCCTACGGGATTTTTGTGCAGGAAAAGATGTGGTGATCCTACCCAACTAGGGATGTGGAGGTATGTGTGTTGGGAATATAATGCTCTCATTTCGCTATGACTCTGTGTGTAAGCCAAGGGCTGTGTTTGTGTGGGTTTGAATAACCGTTTTGTATAACCAGGCTCAAGCCTTGGAAAGTTGTAAACCCTTTGGGGTATTTATTTGTTTATTTACTTGTTATTGGATGAATGTATTGTAGCATGAAGAACTATTATATCATGTAATATAAGTTTGGAGATTTATATTCGGTTTTTCCTTGAAAGAGCCATGATTGTTGTATTATCATTTGGGCTAGAAATTTAGGGCGTTACAATTTCTCTGATGGTTTGCTAATCAATTTTTTATTTGAACAAGATAATTGAATTTTGTGTGTATGGACAAGTAAACCCAATAACATGACTTCTCACAATTTGAGCTACTTTACAATATAAATCAACTCATTAAACACTAAAGTGAAACTTGGGGGTGAAAGTGTTATCCACTCATATGCTTACACCCCTTCAAAGTTGATGGGAGATATTTGATAAAGGATTGACATTGAAATTTGACCAAAACTATGTAAACTTTTGATTATCACAATTGAAATTGAAACTAAAAACAAGGTGAGACTTAGGTCAAAGTGAAGGGGTGCAAAGTGCATGAAATTGTATTTCATAGAAGGTAAGGCCTATTCTAAGTTGTAGCTTTACAATGACATGGCATATAGAAGGCCCTTGGTTATTATTATTAGTAAGATAGATTCCTAGAGCACCTTGTCCTTTTTTCTATTAGTAAGGTTGTCAAAAAGTATCAACCAAGCCAAAACTTGAGTTTGATTGCAGGAGTACGCATTAGCATGCCAATAACATATAAAATCTTTTGTTGCTTGCTTAAAAAACTAAAAAAAAGGAAGAAAAAAAAAAACATATTATTCAATTCATTAAACACATAGTCTAGAACATATGCATATATGTATGTGTTTGTGTACATAGTGTGCAATTCATAAGTAAACTAGAATTTGATATGCAAAAGAAAATAAATAAACAAGAGAAGAAAAAAAGAGAGGACAAAATGAATTAAAATCATTGAGCAAATATAATCTAAACCACATACACAAACACATACAAATATAATCATTTAGCTCTTAAAGTAATGCATTTACTTTCATCATATATTGTAAAACTGCATATAAATCCAATCTAAGATTACTCTGAGCTAAAAATTTTCTATAAATTGAATATAAACAGATAAGTTATTATTTTTAAAATATATATTCCACAATCATTGCCACTGAATCCGCAATTACGTTAAAGTCCCCATGTTTTGAAAATAGGTTTTAAGTTGTAACTAGGGCTAAAAAGAGAGACCGTAATCTCTTCCAATTCCTAGAATAGAAAGCAGACTTTAAATGGGTAACGACAATATTATATGAAACCAATTGCCTTTGTATTTTCATTCAAAAAAAAAAAATGTCTTTGTATTTTTGCATCATTTTTGGTTTTAAACCAAGAAATAAACAAAACACTATCAGCATTACAAATTGCAGAGTTGCTTTTGTTGATAAGGTTTTAAAAAGGACATTGTTGGAAAATAAAACAAGTAATGTTATGTAAATATAAAATTCATACATAAAATTGAACGATATGATTATGTTGTTTTTGCATTGCTTTTGTGACAAATTTTATATAAAACTTATGTTTGTAAATCATTTTTCAAATTTAAAAACAAAAAAATGTAATCAATACATGAAATTAGTGAAGTTGCCAGGAAAAGGGAAAAAACAAAAAAGAAGAGGAGGACAAATATAATGCCGGTCCAGTTCATTCAATTTTCCAGGAAGCCAAACAGGTTTTTTGAGAGGAAAAAAAATATATAAAAAAAAAGAAGAAGAAAAAAAGAAGAGGAAATAGAGATTGGGATCAGTGGAACTGATATGTAAATAATGGTCCCAATAATTTAAAGGAAAGAAATTGAAAGTGGTCACAAATGAGTAGTGTGTGTGCGTGCTTTAACGTGCAGAAATCAAGGGATTGTTTAGGGTGTCTTAAATAAGTGTATTTTTTATCTTTTTGAACTAAAAAATTGAGGAACAAAATATGGATGTTTGGGTTAATTTTTTAACTTTTTTATGGAAAAATGTGTATTAAAAAATTATATAAAAAAGTGTGTAGGAGAAGATATGTAGTACGCCGTACGGATGAGAACATTACAGTCGGCTTGGTGAAGGTGAATACATGGGAAAAAATTGCTTCCTTTTCGGGCTTTGATTGGACGGTGTTGTTCGGCCTGTGGGGGCCTACCACGGGTCCCGTTTTTCTAATCAGAACCATTCATTGTGTAGAACTCGTCGAGTACTATATACTTGTAAAAAATCACGTTGATTGGATATCTATAGCTATCTGATCATGTTAGTTTTTTTTGTCAACTGTAAACTATAATACCATCCAATTTTTATACAAAACTGATTTGATCATGTAGTTAGCAATATTCTATAGACGTGATTTTTTACAGGCATATATTACTAGACGAATTCTACATATTAACGGTTCGGATTATCAAAACGAGACTTATGGTGGGCCCCCACAGGCCCAACTTTATCATTCAATTTAGTGAATGTACACACATTATTATTTTTTTTTCTTTCATTGCAGGTGGCTGACGTCAGTACGTTGATGGGTGGGAAAAGTTAAACTTTTATATTAATTTACCATTCAAATTAATATTTATATATTAATTTCTTTATATTTTTTTGATAAATAGTGATAACTTTTTAACTTTTTGACTTTTTTTGAACTTGTCAAACTAGCCCTAAATGAAGTCGAAATGTGATTTGTGTATGCCGGATTCACCTCCTCTCCAGCGCTTTATAGTCCGACTCCCTCCAGCCATTCCACCAGATGGAGACGCGTGGCGACAACGGATCCGACGGGCAAAAAGGGAGCCACGTCTGTGATGCTCAAGAAACAAACAAAACGACACCAAGTTCTATCGTTTTGGCTAGATGGAGGTATGTAACGGAAAGTTCTTTTTTTTTTATTTTTTATTTTGAATTACAAATCCAGATTCAGATCCCTTCTCCCGCCTTTTTCATAAATTCAGAACCCAATCCCTCCTTCCCTCTCTCTCTCTCTTTCTCAGAACCCAGTCCCCTATCTATGATTCAGTTTTTTTTCCATTTATAATCAATCGACAGTAGAAGGCTTCGCCATCCTTGGACTTCATCATTTGAAAATCTTTGTTTACCCAAACAATTGTAAACACCAAAGGTTAGATTTGTAGTAGTTTATTTTCGTTTTTTTTTTTTTAATCCATTCCAAGTGTATGATGAAATGCCTCAATGTTTGGGTTCAAATCCATTCCAAGTGTATGATGAAATGCCTCAATGAGACTTGCAAACATGGGTGTGAATCATGGTGAAAATCTGGAAGTTAGATTCTCATATGTATATATTTGCTAGTCTGTTTGAGAACCCACCTAAAATCTAGAAGCAATAGTTTTCATGCTTATTTATATATGTTCATTTATAAATGAGCACATATAAATCTCATTTATATATTTCACTGAACAGATTAGCAATAGTCAGTCAGTTTGAGAACTCATTAATATATGCTCCTTTATATATGATGCTCATAAATCTAGTAATTTTAGAAAACCCACCTAAAATCTGGTATGTATATGATGCTCATATTTCACTGAAAAGATTTTTTTCACTCTTAAGCAGAAACAAATTTGTCATATCAATCAAGGTTAGGCTTTTAGATACTTTTGTAAAGTTTTTCTATTGATTTAGGAGAAGACAATCAATTTTCCACAAATCAAATATTTAGAAAAAGAAAAAATTGATTTGGTAGATAGTATGAAACAGAACATTAATGTGTAAAACAGAGCCTCAATATCATTTAAGAACATTAAACCATGTACTGCTTTCACATATTTATTAGATAAAAAATCATGTTTACTGTTTTGCATTTTAGGTATTGGATATATCGAAGATTGATGATTTAACAATTGCTAATGGATGTTCATGGTGAGGATGATACACAATGTAAATCCATATTAGGTATGGAATTTGACTCTGAACAATCAGCTTATGAATTTTATAATTCTTATGGAGGTAGAGTTGGATTTAGTATTAGAAAACAATATGCTCATAAAAGTAAGACCGGTGAAATTACTTCAAGGACATTTGTTTGTTCTAAGGAGGGTCTTAGAAAATCTGATAAAAGAGATTTTTCTGTAAGGATTCCTAGGGCGGAGACAAGGACCGGTTGTGGTGCTTTGATGAGCATTAAATTAATTAGGCAAATTGGGAAGTATAGAGTTATCAATTTTGTAGAAACACATAACCATCCCCTTGTAGTAAGTGCATGTGCTCATATGCTTCCTTCCCAAAGAAAAATTTCCACCTCTCAATATATTGAAATAGATTTAGCAGATGACTGTGGGATACCTCTTAGGTCATCCTATGAGTTAATGGGTAGAGAGGCAGGTGGAAGGGAATGTGTTGGGTTTTTGAAAAAAGATTCAAGAGAATTATTTAAGAACAAAAAGACAAAGAATGTTGGAATTTGGTGAAGCAGGGAGCATATTGAAGTATTTTCAAGATCAGACGGTACAAAATCCTTCATTCTTTCATTCTGTGCAGTTGGATACTGAAGAGCAAATAACAAATATTTCTTGGGCAGATAATAGAATGATAATTGACTACGGTCAATTTGGGGATGTTGTAACATTTGACACAACATACAAGATTAATAGAGAGAGCCGCCCTTTTGCTATTTTCGTTGGCTTCAATAACCACCGAGAGACCATTGTTTTTGGAGCTGCATTGATGTATGATGAAACAACCGGTTCGTTTATATGGTTGTTTAAAACTTTTTTAGAGGCAATGTCAAATAAACATCCAAAAACTATTTTCATATATCAGGATGTAGCAATGGCTAAGGCTATTTCATATGTGATGCCTAACACATATCATAGGCTATGCACATGGCATATGATGCAAAATGCTGTAAAACATATGAGTGGCATTTTTAGCAGTCCTGGTGGGGTAAGAAGTGTTTTGGGAAAGTTTATAGATGAGTATGAGGAGGAAGAGGAATTTTTTGCAGCTTGGAATGCTATGTTAGATGAGTTTGATGTTCATGATAATTCATGGCTGCAAAGCATTTTTCATTTAAGGAAAAAATGGGTTAGGGCATATGTTAGGTGGACATGGTCAGCAGGGATGAAGAGCACACAACTTAGTGAGAGCTTAAATGCTGATTTGAAAGAGTACTTGAGATCAGATTACAATTTGATTCAATTTTTCATTCACTTTGAAAGGGTGCTTAATGAGAAGCGATATAAGGAATATGAAGCTGAGTATGCATTGTCATATAAGTTGCCTAGGATAAAAGTCCAAGTTCTAATGTTGACTCAGGCAGGAGATGTTTACACAAAAACTATCTTTGAAGAATTTCAAGATGAATATGTGGGTTCACTTGAGTTATATGCAGCAAATTGTGTTCACAAGGATGATTGTTTGGTTTATATTGTCAAAGCATATCGACAATCTACAATGCGTGAAGTGAAGAAAGACAAAGATGGTAATTTGTCTTGTTTTTGTAGGTTGTTTGAGATGAAAGGAATATTGTGTAGTCATGTTATTAAGGTTCTTAAAGATGAAATGATTATAATGGAAATTCCAAGCCAATATATCCTGAAAAGGTGGACAAAATTAGCAAGAGCTGAAATTGTCCAAGATTACAAAGAGCGCGATATTCAAGCAGACCCTAAGTTGGAACAGAGCAGCATATACAAGTCATTGTGCTCCCTCTTTACTATGATTTTATCCTAGGCATCTGAATTGGAAGAAACATATGAAGATTGTGTTCAGGAAGGGAAAAAATTGCTCGCATTTGTTCAAAATAAGTTGCGTATACGTATCACCAATGGACCACTAAACTTAAATGATGCTAGCTCTACAATGAGAATGAATGAGGCAGTGAAAATGTCATTCAAGTGAAGGGACTGAAGAAAAGGATTGATCCCATTCGTGGAAGGCGACGGATTAAAAGTAGCTTGGAAAAGGCATTGGAGACTTCAAGAAAGAAAAAGCAACGCGTTCAGGTATTATTTAATTTTTTTTTGTTTTTTTTTTTATGATCTTTACATTCTTTAAATTTTTCAATTTATGTTACTTGGTTTCATCTAAGTTCTTATCTTGATAGGATGTACAAGCATCTTCAAATATGCTCCCACATATGATGCCACCATATATTCAAGTACCAACTTCAATGCAGGTAATACTTATTTTTTTGTGTTCTTATCTTTACATTTTAAAATTTATTCGAGTTCTTTTCAAGAAATTTCAATTTCTAGGATGTACATGTATCTTCGAATATATTCCTACATATGAGGCAACCATTAGCTGAAGTACCAAATTCAGTGCCTTGGACATGGAATGGAGAGCCTCAATATGCCAACTTCCGAGCCTTACTTCAAGGATCTACTTTGCTTAACTCATCACAATACTCGACTAGCACACATTACAATCAAGTATGCAACATGAATTATTGTGGATATCCTTCAATTCTATGCTTTGAAGTCATTCTGATTATGTTTTTTACTTCATAGGTTCCCAATCTAAACATTATTCGAAATTCCTCTACACCAATATATCCAGAAATTCTTGGAGACTGATGAAGATTGTTGCAAGTGAAAGATTTTTGTTAATATTAAAATCTGGGAATGTTTATTGTGAACATTAAATTTGGGAATGTTTATTGTCAATGTGGATTGTGAATATTTCTATTGCTATACGGTCCATTGAATTGTAGAAGTGATTTTTTTTGGGTATGAAATTTTATTTTTTGGACAATGAAGAATATCTCGCAAGAGTTGATTTTGTAGATATTATTGTTGATAAGCATATTTGATGAGGCGGGTATGAGATTGTTTATAAGGATGTATTGCAGGACAACACTAATGTGGTTGAGTTGAATTCACTGAGATTGTGCAATTGGATTGTTATAAAATAGATTTGTTATAAAATAGATTGGCTTAGACTAAGGGAAATCTAATTTGTTATAACATAGATTGGCTTAGACTAAGGGAAGCAGAAAAGCTTCAGAATTTTACACATGGGTCGACCACTTGGATGACCACCTGGTCGACCCCTTGGTCGACCACCCGGTTGACCAACCGGTCGATCAGTGCATGCAAAATTGGCCTGGTTCAAACAGTTCAAAAAGTAAAAAAAAAAAAATTGTCTTTACTGGTCGACCAACCGGTTGACCTACGGAGGTAGATTCAAACAGTTCAAAAAGATAAAAAAAAAATAAAAAATAAAATCATTTATCTATTTTATTTATTATAAGTGTTGAATCATTTCGTTAGTCACCTTCCGTTAACCCAAAACTACCAATTTTGGTGTCGTTTTGTTAACTCAGCAACTCTATAGACGTGGCCTCCTTGGTGCCTTCAGATCTACTAAACGCCACGCGTCTCCATCTGGTGGAATGACTAAAGGGAGCCGGATTGTAAAGCGCTGAAGAGGAGGTGAATCCGTGTATGCCGAATTTTCTGACAAATCGATTATAATAGTCGATTCTTTTTTCATTCATTCATTTAAGTCACATCAATCTTCTTCATTCTTCAACAAATCCAGAAAAAAGGCGAATCATCATTTATCGAGAGAGAGAGAGAGAGAGAAATTAAATGACCGTGTGAAGCAAGCATTTGGTGATAGGGATGGCAATCTGAAACCGACCCGATAGTGACCCGACCCCCTGACCCCGAATTAAGTGGTTATTCACCGAAAAATACCCTCGTGGGACGGGGATGGTATTCAAAAGTTCATCCCCGATGATATTCAGGCCGGGGACGGGGATAGGTGTTTCAGCCCCGGCCCCGGCCCGCCCCCCGCCCCCGGCCCCGCCCCGCTTATTCCCCGAGATGAAATTACCTTTTTGTCCTTGCATATATATATATATATATCATATATGCTTGTATTTGATTAGGGTTCACTTTCAGACACCACACCAAACTCCCTCTCACACACGGCGCTCCTCTCCCTCTCTCGCAGCTCGCCACTGGTCTCTCCCTCCTCACCGGCGATCCTCCGTCGCCACCGATCCTCCTTACCGCCTCACCTCTACCCGTTCCTCTGTCGCTCCCTCCACCGCTGCTGCTTTCTCTCCCTCACCGTCGCTGCTTTCTCTCCCTTAGGTATCTCTCTTTCTCTCTCTCTCTCTCTAGGGATTTCGCTTCTAGGGTCACATATATATATATATATATATATATATGCTATATATATTATGAGTGATATATTATATATAGATTTAACCTTTGTTTTGTTTTTTTTTTTTTCTTCTAAATTTTGAATTATCTTTTTATCTATGATCTGTTTATAGATCTGTTTACTTGATTGTTTATTGATCATGTTTATAATACACACAAATATTAACAAAAAATATAGATCGTTACCTGGATTCTGATCTGTGTAACAGATCTATGTGTAACCTTCAAATCTATGTAACCTTCAATCTGATTGTGTTTTGTTTTCTACCAGGAATATGTATTCAGATTAGGTTGGGTGTTCTCTTTAGTTAAAAATGCATTAGCTGGTTACACCACAACAATCTTTGGCATATGGCACAGGTTATTTCTAAATTCCTAGTTCAATGTAGTTACGCCATTGATTTCAAATTGATTGTATGTTTGCGGTGTAAAACTTTTCGATGAGTTGTGTGTTAGACTTGGATTCTGTGTGGTGTTTATTTGTTATTTAAATATTTGGCTTTTTTCTTTATATAGGTGATTACTCTTTATGTCTGTGACATGAATCAAATAGATGAGAATTTATGTTTGATTTTATTTATCTTTGCTGTGTCTCAGAATACAATGAAAAATTAGGGAGATTTACTGATCCAACCAACGAAACCTTAGAGGGGTATTACTCTCTCTCTTCTCTTTCTCTTCAATACCTTTTTGGTTACTTTTATGTGTGCTTAATTGGTGTTAAACTGCTGCAGATAGGGATGATACCATACCCAAACATGGATTTTCTTTATGCTTGTTAACTGCATAGGATATGTAACCTGGTATAATAATATATTGTTGTTTGGCATCCATTCTATAAAAGGGTTAAAAATTAGGATGTGAAGGGGATTAGATAGATGTACTTTGAAGAATATTCATAAACTGGATGTGAAAGGGATAGTGCATATGTTGCCAGGAAAAAAAATATTAGAGAGATAATTGTTTTTTATTTTATTTTTTCTTGAAAGGGAATTAGACTGCATTGTTGCAAGATGATCATCAAACTAACCTGTCAAATTGTGTGGATAAGTATTGTTGACTTTAGTTAAATCATGTGATGACAGTTAGGCTATGTCCTGCTACCTTTCTCTATGCTTTCTTGTTGGATGTATAAAATTACCACATCTATTGTTGCTATGAACCACGTAGAAAGCTGTTTAATATTATACGACATTGATTCAGCTGTGTGTGGATGTATTGGATTTATCATTTTGTGATTCATTGCTGTCACTGTCAGTATTTTCTATCCGTATATATGAGTTTTTTTTTTTCTTTACGTGCTTTTAAACCCTTGCTTATTTCCTTTGCATTTTAACCCTTTTCTTATTGTACATTCCTAATTCAATTCCATTCATCTAAAGAAAGAAAAAGAGAAAGAATGTCCCAATTCAATTCAAACAGAGAAAGAATCTTATTAATATTAATTATTTGTTTTTTTCCTTTTGTTATTTAAAGGATTCAAGTTGAAGAGATGATGGAATTGTTGTGTGGTTTGTATGGGTTTGTATGGATATTGGAGAAACAATGGATTTGAATTTTTATGTTGTAAATGGAATATATATATATATTTTTTTTAATTTCATTTTTTGGAGAACCTACCCTGCGGGTTGTGCTTGGATAAATTATTCTCTTTGCTACTGTTGCATTTTTCTTGTGTGTGGGCTGACTGGAGATTTTCTGGAGAAACAGAATGCTATTTATGGAGTTTATGCATGAGACACTGTTCAGTTGACACTTTTTCAATGTTTTGTATGCTACCAGATATGTGTGTGTGTGTGTGTATGACATTGTTACAGATTTTAATCCATGTTTACGGATGTATTTTAAATCATGTTTACAAATTTGTATGGCCTGCACAGGTTAATTGGCATGCCACAAGTTATTTTAATCCATGTTATTGGCAATGCTACAGGTTTATAGATTTGTATGGCATTGTGTCAAATATATTTTAAAATATATTTAAAATTGCTACGAGTTATATTTGTGATGGCAATGCTACAGGTTTACAAATATTATTTAATCTATATTAATTGTTCTTCATTGTCTCAAATATATTTTAATCCATGTTTATAGATTTTTATGGAAAAAAAAAAAAAATCGGGGATTTCGGGGTCGGGGATCCCCGATCCCCGATCGGGGCGGGGGTGGGACCGGGCTATGAGTCCCCGTCGAGGGACGCGGCGGGGCAGGAAAATTCGAGCATCGGAGATCGGGAGTGTGATCCCCGGCCCCGTCCCGCCCCCGTGCCATTCCTATTTGGTGAATCGACAAAAAAAAAAAAAAAAAAAAAAAGAGTGAGAAATCACATTGATTGACTGATCCTAAGCAAATTACTCTCTCTCTCTCTAAAAATTACTGGGGGACAATTTCAAAACTCTTATTCGGATAACTTTTTGTTCCTCTTCTTCAAACCTCAACCAATTCAGCACATTGTTTGATATACAAAATCCGGAGAATGTGGAAGCGATTATGAGAATTGTATATAGAAAATAGAAGTTATTGAATTGAAAGGGTTTCGAAATCTAATAAGATAATCAAGAAGAGCAAACGACTTGGAATTTCAGAGATTCGCAAATTTTCGCTGAATTGAGCAAGACCACAACAAAAAAAAACAGAGATCGAGTACAATGGGGAATGTGTATATATATATATGTTTATATATACATATACTTTACCTTAAAGTCCATCAAAATGGTAAAACATTCCAAAAATTGATTCAAAAATTGAAAATAGGGCTAGGGTTTAGTGAGAATCATAGAGTGAGATATAGAGAGAGAGAGCAATAGATGTGGAGAGATACGTTTAAAAAGATACCTTGAGGGAGAGATAGGGTTGCTGCTCGCGAGAGCAGGAGAGTCGACGAGATGAGAAACTCATAGTTCAACAATGAATCCAACAGAGGTTCTGCAGTTCCATTGTGCTGAAACAAAGGTTATATAAGAGTTCAACATGGACCAAGCAGAGGCTTGCAGTTGTTAATGGAAATCAAGGGCTACAAGAGGAAGAGAATAAGAGGGAGAGAAAATACAGAGTAAAGGAAGTGGGATCGAAATAGGAGGGTTAACCGGTGCCTGGTTTCCAATTTTTTACCATTAAACAATTCAATGGCTTGATCAATTGTTTGTAACCAAGGACTAATAATTAGGTTGTTTGTGGGTACAAGCTTAAGGGGTTGCATACTTAAGACCCCCTTACCTGAAGCTTTTTGATAGAAAAGATAGTTAAGTAGGTGGGAAAGAGAGGGAAATGGATCACTCAAGGCTGTGTTTGAGCTTAGATTTGAGAGGAGATTTTTGGAAGGGAAACAAATCCCTACACAATTTTAGATTCCAACATAGTCTAATAACAAGATTCATGTTTTTTCCTTTTAATAGATTTGC